GCTGCTGCTGCTGCTGCTGCTGTTGCTGCTGCTGCTGCTGCTGCTGCTGCTGTTGCTGCTGCTGCTGCAGCTGAGTTTGTGCATCAGCAGCTGCCTCGGTATGTCTCCGCTGAGCTGCGGGGTGTCGATACAGCAGACCTGCGGGCGATAGAGAAGGCCATGGCGCGGGCTTTCTGCCGCCTGGTGAGCTGTGCATACACCCCACACCCCTGCTGCTGCTGCTGCTGCTCCTGCTGCTGCTGCTGCTGTTGCTGCTGCTGCTGCTGCTGCTGCTGCAGCTGAGTTGCTGTGGAGAGTGTTGTGCCTCAGGACGAGGCGATCGGCTCATCTGTCGATGCGGCGTATTCCCTCGGCATCAAAAGAAGCGTCAAGGCAAGACCTGCTGCTGCTGCTGCTGCTGCTGCTGCTGCTGCAGCTGCTGCGTGTGTTGCTGTTGGTGCTGCTCCTTTGCTGCAGTCTGCATGCGTTGCTGCTTCTGCTGCTTGCTCTGCGGTGTATGTGCAGGTCGGGGCTTGCTGCTTGGCGCTGCTAATAACAGAGAACGGATTTGTCGTTGCCAACAGCGGCGACTGCATGGCTGTGCTGCACCGCAGCAGCAGCAGCAGCAGCAGCAGCAGCAGCAGCAGCAGCAGCACGGTGGGAGAGGTGTTAGAGCTGAATACGCAGCAGAATGCAAACTCACCAGAAGAAAGAAAAAGGCTGCAGCTCCTCCACCCAAACGAAGACGATGTCGTATGCAACCTGCTGCTGCTGCTGCTGCTGCTGTTGCTGCTGCTGCTGTTGTTTTGCTGCAGCAGCTGCTGCTGCCGTGGCGGTGCTGCGGTCGTTTCCCTGGTGTTGTTGCTGCTGTTGCTGCTGTTGTTGCTGCTATCCTTTTATTGTTGCTGCAGCAGTTGTCTCATCCCGTTGCTTGCTTCATCTTGCGTCTGCTGCTGCTGCTGCTGCTGCTGCTGCTGCTGCTGCTGCTGCTGCTGTGTGTGTGTTGGGGTGTACATACACCAGGTGGTTTGTAAGAGAGAATGGAAGGAGCCGCGACAGCCCCAAAATGCATTTCATTCTGTGCTGCATGCATTTGGCTTGCTGGGTAAGCAATACTGCATATACACCTGAAAAAACAACTGCTGCTGCTGCTGTTGCTGCTGCTGCTGCTGCTGTTGCTGCTGCTGCAGTTGTAGTGATTGCTGCTGCTGCATCAACTGCAGCAGCAGCAGCAGCAGCAACAGCGTGGAGTTGCTGCCAAAAGCCCGCAGTTTCTGGATAAAGGCGCAGCAGCATCTATTGCTGCAGCTGTGTTGCTGCATCTGCTGCTGCTGCTGTTGCTGCTGCTGCTACTGCTACTGCATGCGTGTATGCATGCGTGCTGGGGTGTATGTACAGGTAGTGAGACGCAGTTTGGCTCTTGCTATGTTAAGGGGCGGCTGCAGCCTACGGGGGCCTTCGGTGATTTTGTTTTAAAAAAGAAAAAATATGTGGAGGAGTTGAGAGGAGGCAGACGCCGCAGGTCTGCTGCTGCTGCTGCTGCTGCTGCTGCTGCTGCTGCTGCTGCTAGTGCTGCTGCTGCTGGTGTTAACAGCAGCAGCAGCAGCAGCAGCAACAGCAGCGGCGGTGGCAACAGTAGCAGCAATGCCGGTGTATCACCGTCAGCAGCATCCACAGCAGCAGCAGCATCCGCAGCATCCGCAGCAGCAGCAGCAGCAGCAGCAGCAGCAGAAGATGCAGCACAAGAACGATGGTCTTTTCCTTATGTTGTTGTTGACCCCCAAACGAGGTGTATAGACAGCAGCAAAGACGATCAGTTTCTGCTGCTGGCTACAGACGGCCTCTGGGATTTCCTCTCGCCCCAGGAAGCAGCAGCTGTTGTTACACAAACCCTCAACAGCAGCAGCAGCAGCAGCAGCAGCAGCAGCAGCAGCAGCAGCAACAGCAGGCAAGAGGCTGCTAAGAGGGCGGCAGACGCGTACGTTCATCCTACAGAGATAATCTATGCAGCAACAAAAACTGCACTCGTGGAGCAGCTCAAGCTGCTGCTGCTGCTGCTGCTGCTGCTGCTCCCGCTGCTGCTGATGCTGCTGTTGAATGCTTCTGCTTCCGCTGCTGCTGCTACTGGTGCTGCTTGTGGTGCTGCCGCCATGGGCGGCGCTCTTGGTGCTGCTGTTACTGCCGCTGGTACTGTTGCTGCTGCTGCTGCTGCTGCTGCTGCTGCAATTGCTGCTGCATGCGTGTGTGTGTGTGTTTAGGCTTGTTAGAGAGGTAGTGCAGCGAGCAGCAGCAGAGAGGTGTATTTCTGTTGCTGCTGCTCTTACAACCCCCCCCAAGCAGCGGCGGCGTCTTTACGATGATACTACTGTTGCTGTCATTCTGCTGCAGGGCGCTTCGCTGCAGCGCAGCAGCAGCAGCAGCAGCAACAGCAGCAACAGCAGCAGATGAAGATGCACTGCAGATGTCCACAGCCCTGGCGCGGACCTCGGTAGATGCCGCTGCTGTTGCTGCTGCAGCTGCTGCTGCAGCTGCTGCTGCAGCTGCTGCTGCAGCTGCTGCTGCAGCTGCTGCTGCAGCTGCTGCTGCAGCTGCTGCTGCAGTTGCTGCTGCTGTTGCTGCTGCTGTTGCTGCAGTTTCTGCTGTTGCTGCTGGCAGCACTGCTGCTGCTTCCAGGAGCAACACAAAACTGCAGCAGCGTCATTATTATAGAGCAGCAGCAGCAGCGGTAGCAACAACAGCAACAGCAGCCGTAGCAACACCAGCAACAGCAGCAGCAGCAGCAGCAGCAGCATGGGGGTGAGGATGGTTGGGGGTCTTGGGGTGTATGTACAGCTCACGGACGGTTAAGGAGCCCCTTTGCTGCACTGCCCGTTGCTCTCTCCGCAGCAGCAGCAGCAGCAGCAGCAGCAGCTGCTGCTGCTGCTGCTGCTGCTGCTGCTGCTGCTGCTGCAGTGTGTGTCCCTCAACTTTGCTGGCAGCTCGGCTGCCTCTCCCCTTCTGGCGTAACCTGGAAGGCGGCAGTTGCCTAGCTAGCTAGCTAGCTGGCTAGCTAGCTGTCTTGCTTGGTAGCTAGCTAGCTGTATGCCTGGCTAGCTATCTAGCTAGCTACCTAGTTGTCTAGCTAGGCACCTATCTAGCTGTCTAGCTAGCTAACTGTCTAGCTATCTACCTAGCTAGCTA